AATTTGTATTGATAGTACACACTGCTGCTACTGAGCGTTGGTGGTGGAGGGAGTGGATGCTTGTCGATGTGGTGCCAATCAAGCGGGCTGCTTTGTCCTGGATGGTGTTGAGCTTCTTGAGTGTTGTTGGGGCTGTACTCATCCAGGCAAGTGGGGAGTATTCCATCACACTCCTGACTTGTGCCTTGTAGATGGTGGACAGGCTTTGGGGAGTCAGGAGGTGAGTTATTGGCTGCAATCTTCCTAACCTCTGGACTTGCCCTTGTAGCCACAGTATTTATGTGGCAGGTCCAGTTGAGTTTCTGGTCAATGGTAACCACAAGATATTGACAGTGACGTGTTCAGTGTGGTAACGCCATTGAATGTCAAGTGGCATAGTTAGATTGTTTCTTATTGGAAATGGTCATTGTCTGGCATTGTGTGGTATGAATGTTACTTGCCACTTGTCAGCCCAAGCCCGGAGTCTGTTTTATTGCCTTGATGCACTTATGTAAGGTATGATTTGTCTGGTTAACATGCAAAACAATATTTTTCACTGTATCTCAGTACATGTTACAATAATAAATCAAGTCAAATCAAAAGTTATAGAGAAGTTGAATAAATTGTGGAAAAATGTAAAATTATTCATTATGTCAGGGAGAATAAAGAAGTAGCCTATCATACAGTGAGAGGATCCCGAGCTCAGAGAGATCTGGGTTTCCTGCATGAATTTCAGATGGTTAGTATGCAGCTACAGCAAATAATTCAGGAAATTATTATTTAGATCTTGTTGCCTTTGAACATGGAGTTGTGAATGGTGCCGAACATTGTGCAATCATCGGCGAATACCCCCATTTCTGATTTTATGGCAGAGGGAAGATCATTGATGAAGCAGCTGAAGATGGATAGGGCACTACCTTCAAGAACTCCTGCAGAGGTGTCCTGGAGCTGAAATGCCTAACGTCCAACAACCACAACCATCTTCCTATGGGCCAGGTATGACTCCAACCAGGAGTGTTTGCCCCCTCATACCCATTGATTCCAGTTTTGCTTGGGCTCCTTGATGCCACACTTTGTTGAATGCAGCCTTGAAGTCAAAAGCTGTCACTCTCACCTCACCTCTGGAATTCAGCTCTTTTGTCCATGTTTGAAATAAGGCTGTAATGAGGTCAGGAGCTGAGTGGCCCTGGCGGAACCCAAACTGGGCATCACTGAGCGAGTTATTGCTGCAGCACTCCCTCAGCGCTGACCCTCCGACAGTGCGGCACTCCCTCAGCACTGACCCTCCGACAGTGCGGCGCTCCCTCAGCACTGACCCTCCAACAGTGCGGCGCTTCCTCAGCACTGACCCTCCGACAGTGCCGCGCTCCCTCAGCACTGACCCTCTGACAGTGCTGTGCTCTCTTAGTACATATAAACTTCCAGATTTGGGGTAAGAGTGGGACAATCGGTCTTTCAAGCCAACTATTTATTAAGATGATAGTTGAGCGGACTTTAATGTCATAGAGTCACACAATCATAGAGGTGTACAGTTCAGAAACAGAACCTTTGGTCCGACTCATCTGTGCCGACAAGATATCTTAAATTAATCTAGTCCCATTTGCCAGCATTTGGCTCTCTAAATCCTTGCTATTCTTTTACCCATCCGGATGCTTTTTAATTTTTGTAGTTGTACCAGCCTCCACCACAGCCTTTGGCAGCTCATTCCATACATGCATCACTCTCTGTGTGAATAAATTGCTCCTTAGAGCCCTTTTACACCTTTCCCCCTCACCTTAAACCTACGCGCTCTAATTTTGGACTCCCCCACCCTGGGGTAAAGACCTTGTTTATTTACTCTATCCATGCCCCTCATTATTTTATAAACCTCAGCTCCAGAGAAAATAAACCCAATCTATTTAGCCTCTCCCTCTAGCTCAAACCCTCCAACCCTAACAACATCCTTGTAAATCTTTTCTGAACCCTTCCAAGTTTCACAATATCTTTCCTATAGCAAGGAGAACAGAGTTGCACGCAGTATTCTAAAAGTGGCCTAACCAATGCCCTGTACACCCGCAACATGACCTCCCAACTCCTATACTCAGTGCACTGACCCATAAAGGCAAGCATACCAAATACCTTCTTCACTATCCTATCTATCTGTGTCTCCACTTTCAAGGAACTATGAACTTGTACTCTAAGGTCTCTTTGTTCAGCAACACTTCCCTGGACCTTACCATTAAGTGTCAATTCCACATTCTTGCCTATCCCTGATAACCTTTCATCTTGTTTCTCAAGAATTCATCTACTTTCACTTTAAAAATATTTAAAGCCTCTGCTTCTGCCACATTTTTAGGAATTCAGCTTTTTTATTCACTGGTGGGATGTGGGCATCACTGGCTGAGCTAGCATTTATTGCCCTTTCCTAGTTGTACTTGAGAAGCTGGTGGTGAGGCAGGGTTTGATTTATGATGAAGGGTCTAGGCCCGAAACGTCAGCCTTTCTGCTCCTATGATGCTGCTTAGCCTGCTGTGTTCATCCAGCTCTGCACCTTGTTGTCTAGGGTTTGATTTATCTTGCTTTTTGTATACCAAGGACTCAGTCCCAAAGACTCTCAATCTTCTGAGAGAAAAGAATATCATTCAGCACTTACAGATATCTCTATTTACAATGGGCTACCCTTGATATTTAAGCAGTGACTTCATGTTCTAGATTCTCCCACAGAGGTAACATCCTCTTCACGTCTACCCTATCAAGACTCAGCAGCATCTTTTATATTTACTCTTCTAAACACCAGTGGATACAAGCCCCATCTGCCCAACATTTCCTCTTAAGCCAACCTTTCCAATCCAGGAATTAGGCTGGTAAACCTTCTCTGAACTACTTCCAATGCATTTACATCTTTCTGTAAATAATGTGACCAATAAGGGCGGCATGGTGGCTCAGTGGTTAGCACTGCTGCCTCACAGTGCCAGGGACCTGGCTTCAATTCCACCCTCAGGCGACTGTCTGTGTGGAGTTTGCACGTTCTCCCTGTGTCTGCGTGGGTTTCCTTCAGGTGCTCTGGTTTCCTCCCACAGTCCAAAGATGTGCAGTCTAGGTGGATTGGCCATGCTAAATTGTCCATAGTGTTCAGGGATGTGTAGATTGGGGTTATAGGGGGATAGATCTGGGTGGGATGCTCTCAGGGTCGGTGTGGGCTTGTTGGGCCAAAGGGTCTGTTTCCACACTGTGGATTCTATAAAAAATACTGTAAATAGTCCTCCAGTTGTGGTTTCCCCAGTGTGCTGTGTAACCGATAACCTCAATTCCCCTCGCAATAAACAATGACATTCCATTAATTCTCTGAATTACTTGCTGTAGTTGCGTACTAGCATTCTGAAGTTCATGCAGGAAAGCCAGATCACTCTGAGCTCTGGATCCTCTCACCACTCATTAGATCACATTTTTTATTCCTCCTGTCAAAACAAACAATTTCACATTTTCCACATTTTACTCCATTTGCCAAATCTTTCCCCACTTATTCAACCTCTTTATACCTTTTTAATTTGATTTGATTTATTATTGTCACATGTACTGAGTGAAAAGTATTGTTTTGTGTGCTAAACAACAAATCACACCTCTATAAGAACATCAGGACCCATACAACAGAATGCAGAATACAATGTTACAGCTACAGAGAAAGTGCAGAAAAAGATCAGCTCTAATATATGAGAGGTCAGTTCAAAAGTCTACTAACAGCGGGGAAGAAACTGTTCTTAAATCTGTATATGTTTTTAAACTTTGGTATCTTCTGCCCAACGGAAGAGGGTGGAATAGAGTATAACTGGGAAGTTATGTTGGCTGCTTTCCCGAGGCAGTGGGAAGTGTTGATGGAGTCAATGGAAGGAAGTGCCTCTGTAGCCAAAAAGAGATGTCCTTAAACTTGGCACCAGGTAGGCAACACATCCTTTGGGACTCTGTCCATGCTTCAGAGAACAGTTCCTATTCCTTTAATTGTATTATCCCCTATTGCTATGTTTCTCTTTTCTCCTCCCACTTGAATGGCACTCAGCATCGCCTCCTGTGGTCAGTTCATTCATTGTGTTCACAGTCTGTGCCCTCGCCCACATAGGAGCAAGACCCTTGTACCAACTAACGTAGGGAACTGGCCGTGGCTCTTCCACAGCAGATGTGGATGGCACAGACAATGCAGCACATTGTTAATTGAGGTGTCCACTTCTGAAAGAGTTCATCCTGACCAGCGTATTAAGCTCCACCAATATAATGATATCGTATGGATTTGGGGAGCTGAACATCTGAGGATCACAAGAGGACAGACCTATATTCCTGGATCTCCTCATAGTCATGCTAACATTGTCATGGTAACATGGTCTAACTGCCACATGTAAATTGTCCCTGATTGCCATCGTGCGATAAATTACATCTCACGCAAGGCAAAGACCATTTCTTGTTCGATAACTCATACATTGTTTCGACTACACTAGACTGGGAGGGCCCTGGAGATCCGTATCTAAAAGGAGGCAACAAATCACATGATGTGACCAAGATCCAGCGAACACATTCATCATGGACAGTACAGGAGGGGAATCTGGACAGAGGGGGGATGGGGAATGTGAATGGAGGGGGTGAGGGAGTGTGGGGGGAGGGACTACGGGAGTTTGGATGGAGGGGGTAGGGGAGTGTGGGTGGAGGGGGAGTGTGGATGGAGGGGGATGTACGGCAGTGTGGATGGAGGGTGGTGCAGGGTAGTGTGGATCGGTGGAGGGGAATGTGGATCAAGGGGCGGGGGAGGGTGGATGGAGGAGGAAAAAGTGGTGTCTGGGTGACGGGGTTTTGGTGGAGGAGAATCTGTACAGAGCTGTTGAGGGGAGGTGATCTCACTGAAGGCTGGAGCATGTGCTGAATGGTCTACTTCTGTTCCTGTGTCTTCTGGTTAAATATCTGACAAATAGGAATCCTCCACAGGACAGTGTGCTACGCTCCTGCCTTCCTGTTCAATCTGTTCCAAATGTCATAATCTCCAAAATTTTGCCTCCCACCTCATTTGGCTCCAACTGCTCATTTTGTTTACCATTCCAGTCTCTCAGGTCGACTGGAGCCTGCACATTGTTGAGCTGATCAATGAACATCTCAGTAGGTGCTTTCACTCTCTTGGCACCTGGGTGTTTCTGAATTCCTTCTCTTTTTCCTGTGCCCAACACCTTTGTTTACCTAAGGTGCCATAAATAATGCTGTGATTCTTTTGATAATAACATTTCTGGATGTGGAAATTAACTCTGTATGTGCTGTACTCAACTCTAGACTGGACTCCAGGCTCAATGCTCTCTGCCTGTAATACTGCTCCATTAGATCTTAAATATTCCCACCGCATCCCTTCTGCTCCCATGTCTCCATGGGATGCCAATGTGTGTAACTGGGGCCTGAAGATAGACCCTTGATTTGGAGGGACCTTCTCTAACACTGGGGAGAGGGTCTGGCAGAGCTTGGGATTTTGCTGCTCCGGGTTTCTCATGTGGCGAGCAGTGGGATTAAATGGGTGGAGAGGCAGTACCAGGCAACGGTTGCAAGTGAGTGAAAAAGACGCAGTATGAAGAGTGGCAGGCAGTCTGAGGGAGAGGGCAGTGAGGGGTGTCAGTTGGAGAGAGGTGATTTAATTTGATTTATTATTGTCACATGCACCGAGATACAGTGAAAAGTATTGTATTGTGTGCTAGCCAGAAAAATCATACCTCTCATAAGTACATCAGGGTAATAGAACAGAACGCAAAATGTTAGTGTTACAGCAAAGAAGGTGTAGAGAAAAATCGACTCTAATACATGAGAGGTCTGTTCATAAGTCTTGTAACATCGGGGAAGAAGCTGTTCTTAAACCTGGGAGCCTTTGATCATGTTGATTGCTTTCCCGCGGCAGCAGGAAGTGTAGTCGGAGTCAGTGGATGGAAGGCTGGTTTGTGTGATAGACTGGGCTGTGTTGACAGCTCTCTGTACTTTCTTGTGGTCTTGGGCAGAGTAGTTGCCATACCACACTGTGAAGCATCCAGATAGGATGTTTTCCATAGTATATCTATAAAACTTGGTAAGAGTCGTTGTGGACATGCTGGACTTCCTTAGCCTTCTGAGGAAGTAGAGGCATTGGTGTGCTTTCTTGACTGTAGTGTTGACATGCATGGACAAGGACAGATTATTGCTGATATTTACTGCCAGGAAGTTGCTAGGGTCATCACATCTGAGCACCAAGTGGTGTTGATCCCGCTGCCCTTTGTCTTGCCCTAGGATACTGTGAGTCCATTTGGGGAATTGAGAAGCCCCCAGGTGGTAAGGCACAGTCAGGTGTAGCAGGAGTGAGCCTTGTGTCTGTAAAACAACAGTGTCTCAGTTCCCTTTGGAAGGTGAGTTTAACTTTAAGTTTGACCAGCTTGTTTTCAATGACTTGGACATTTACCAAGAGTATGCTGGGGAGGGGGATCTTGAAACCGCGTTGTTTCAGTCTCACCTGCAGGCCAGTGCGTCTCCCCCGTTTCCTGGGGAAGAGGCTGTTTCTGGTTGGGTCCGGGAATGGGACTGGATGATCTGCCATTCCAGAAGGTAAGTGGGCGTGCCCGATGGGAGTAGTTGCAGCCTCCTGTGCTCTGGACAGTCTCGTTCTCGGTCTGGTTGGCCCTCCATGTTGGGTATTCCATAGGGTCGGGTAGGGCCATGGAGTCGGATCTCCGATTGATGTGCGGGTTGGGCCTTCAAGAAGCTGGTAAGTGTCTCTGTTGTCGTGGTTATAGTTCCAGTCTAGCCCCGTGGGTCCACACACTCAGAGGATCTGGGAGGTCCTGGTCTCTGTTGGGCTAGGTCCATTCAAGTCAGTTTGGGGGATGGGGGCATGGGGTGCGGTGTTCCCGAAGATCGGAAGATAACCAGACCTGAAATTAGATTTAACAGAATATTGTTAGTAGTTCTGACAGACTTAGAATTGAGTTCTAAAAGAGTCGAATAGACAGAATATAACAGACAGAAGGAGACAATCTGCTTGTAAAGAGTCGCCATACTTCAGTGCCATTGTAGGTGCACATTTAGATGAGGGTTGAGGGAGGACAGTAGCTTGATGCAGGACAGGGTGTGGGTACAGTCACTGTTAATGTGAGGGCACTATAGGGCAGGGTGGGAACTGGATATGGATCAATGTTGAGAGGGAACTGGATGAAGAATCAGGGGTTTGAGGAGGATACAGGGTCAGAGTTGAGAGCTGGGGTCAGGCTAAGGGTGAGGGGAAGAATGGAGATCAGGGTTGAGGTGAGGATGTTTCCTACATTACAACAGTAACAACACTTTGAGAGCACACCATTAATGGGGAAGCACATCAGGGCATCTTGGTGTTGTGAAAGGAGCTATCTAAATGCAAGACTGTCTGTGTTGTGCAGAAATCATGTGATTATCTCCTGGTCATATTCTTGTTTTGGGATGTAACCTTAGACCCATCTCTGGGCTGGGAGACCAGTGTGAGGTGGTGACACTGTCCAGGGGCCCAGGTTAAAGCTCTTGAGACATGGATACAAATCCCACCATAGCAGCTGGGAGATCTGAATTCATTTAAACAAAATCTGGAAGTCATTATCAGGGACGGCGAACATGAAACCATCATCGATTGTTGCATCTGACTCCAGACCCACAGCCATATGGCTGACTCTTATCTGCTCTCCGAAATGGCTCAGCAAACCCCACTCAGTTCAGAGGTAATTAGGAACAAAAACAGAAATTGCTGGAAAAGCTCAGCAGGTCTGGCAGCATCTGTGCAGAGAAAATCAGAGTTAATGCTTTCGGTCTGGTGACCCTTCTTCAGGGGCAATTAGAGACTGGCAACAAATGCTGACCCAGCCAGTGACGCCCATATCCTATGAAAGGAAAATGTATGCAGTGTGCCAGCTGTTGTGTCAGAAGGCACTCCTGCTGCTGGTTTAGTTGTTTCAAGAAATGCCAGGAGCAAGGATCTGGTGCTCGTGCTTTGACTATCTCACCCAGCTGATGCTTTCTGCAATTTGTTTGATAATTTGTGGTCACAGTGGGTTTGTTTTGTGCTTGGCATTTACTCAGGTGATGGCAGTGTGCCAACCTGCTGAAGGGTTGAATTGTTCACTTGGGAAAAGGAGGCATTGACAAGACCAGTGTGTGAAATGAATAGTTATGGGACTCAACATTCTCTTTAGTTATCTGATATGAAGTCAATCGCCCAGTGGTATTATTGCTGGACTATTTATCCAGAAACTCAGGTAACGTTCTGGGGAGCTAGGTTCAAGTTTCACCATGGTGGAATTTGAATTCAATTAAAATCTGAGATTAAGAGTTTAATGATGATATAAAACCACCACTGATTATAGGAAAAACCCAGCTGGTTAACTAATGTCCTTTATGGAGGAAAACCGCCATCCTTACCTGGTCTGGACTACACATGGCTCCAGATCTACAGCAATGTGGTTAACTCTTAATTGCGCCCTGGACAGTTAGGGATGGACAATAAACACTGGCCTGGCCGCATGAATGATTTTAAAAAAATGAATGCTGCAAACTTAGGGAGAGAAGACAATAAGTTTGGTTTTAATGCTCCCTTTCCCCAAACTCAGTCGACCAAAAATTGCTTTGTATCCAATGAAATAATTTTTGGAGAGTGGGCAGAGTGCACAGCCATCCTCAACTTCCTACCTCACCAACCTCAACTTCCTACCTCACCAATCTTACCCCCACTGCCTCACCAACCTCAACTTCCTACCTCACCAACCTTAACCCCACTGCCTCACCAACCTCAACTTCCTACCTCACCAACCTTACCCCCACTACCTCAGCATCCTCACCCTCCTACCTCAACCGCCTCACCTCCCTACCTTACCAACCTCAACCCCCTACCTCACCAACCTCACCAATCTTACATTACATCACCAACCTCACCTCCTTACCTCACCATCCTCACCCTCCTACCTTACCAGCCTCACCTCCCTACCTCACCAACCTCACCAAATTTACATTACCTCATCAACCTCACCTCCCTACCTCACCATCCTCACCCTCCTACCTCACCAACCTCACCTCCCTACTTCACCATCCTCAATCCCTCTCACCAATCTTACCATACCTCACCATCCTCAACTCGCTACCTTACTAACCTTACCCCCACCACCTTGCCAACCTCAACACCCTACCTCAGCAATTCCCCCCTACCTCACCAACCTCACCCCTCTCCCTCCAAACTCACCCTCCATCTCACCAATGTCTCCTCTACCTTACCGTTCTACCTCACTCCTTACCCAACAAACCTGACACAGCTACACCTGCTCCCCTCGCACTGAGCCTGGCCTCCCCCTGCCGGTTGGTGAGTGCAGGTTTCGATGGAAGAGTGCAGATTGAAACCTTTCTGCATGCCTGGGTATTTGGAGTGTGAGGTCAGGGTCAGGGTTGATGCACCAATCGAACATGATCTGCCTGAACAGCAGAACAGGCTGAAGGGGCCGAATGGTCACCACTTGGTCCCATGAATCAGGGAGGATTCCTGAGACTGTGTCACAGGATAAAACCAGGCCCCGTTCCCTCCAGCTTTCCCCAAAGAGAAAGAAATGTACAGGCAGACCAGACTTACATATCAAATGATCTTTATTCATTTTTACAAAACTACAAAATATCACAAAATTGTAGGCTGGAAACTCAAAACAATTCAGCTTTAAACCAGAGGACACAGTCCAATCATACAGCTTATTAAGATTGGAACAGAATGTTTCTGAAGGCACATATCATTGTACAGAGAAAGATCCCACAAAACAGCAAGACATGATGGGCTTTAAAGACTATGGAGACTGCAGGGGGACAGATGCATCAGTAGGTGCTGTTCCCTTGTGTAGCGAAGGAAGAGAGGCAACAGAGTTTAATTGAACATTCAACATCAGTATTCACATTATGTTGGGATTCAGCTTTGTGTCATTCCCTCAGTCACATTACGGGTTGTTTGATTTCATTGGCTCAGCCTCAGTAACTGGTTCGATTGAGGGCAGGCGCGGGTTGCTAAGGAAATGGAATTGTTCCCAATCCAGATAAAAGCGCCTTCACTCCTGCCGACAAGCACATGGCTCATTGGCTTTGACAATGTGTTTAAACACAGGATTGATGTGGAATTGAGGGAGTCAATTGCATTATCCAAATCAATCACTGTGTTTCAGGGCATGGCAAAACCAATCTGCAATTACATTAACCCCACTCCTGCTGGATTTTGCAAACATCAGGGTGCAAACAGGGTAAAGCTGCATCTACCGTATCACATCAAACACTCCCAGGACAAGGATTATTTGGTGTTAGATACAGAGTAAAGCTCTCTGTAGTCTCTTAAACTGAAAAAAAAGCTCTCCCTACACTGTCCCCATGAAACATTCCCAGGACAGGGACAGTATGGGGTTAGATACAGACTAAAGCTCTCTCTCTTTATATATAAAAAAATCTGCTGATCACACAAATAAGATTTTCCTGGGCTCTCTCTATGAATGATTCAAATTCAGTGCCAATTTGGTACCAGTTTTGTATAGGGGCAACCTCATTTGGCATCACAGTGAGACTGTTCATTCTGAATCCAATTTCAACAATAAGACAACAGGAGCGGGGATTGGAAAAATGATTGGTCAGTGTCAGATTTACAAACGAATACATCCCTCAGTCTGACCTCAAGTAATGTTGACAACTTTGGTATATGTTAGTTCTTTTTCCAATTAATGCAGATGGAACGAATCGAAAGGTTTGTTGACCATCATCTCTCCTCATGCCTGTGAATTCCTGGAAAGAAAAGGTTAATATTTGTTACAAGAATTGGAAGACTGAATTTTAGATTAGTGGGAGAGTGTACACGGGAATGCTGGAGGGTGATTAAATGGGTGGGGAGTGTCAGTGATGGGGGTAGAATGTACACTGAGGTATGGGAGGAGTCAGTAAAAGGGAGAGTGTACATGGGTCTGAGGGGAGAGTGGTTTTTATTGGGAGGATGATGTATACATCTGTCCTGCTTGTTTTTCTTTCACTAAGATAGTCTCAGCCCAACGATCGCCCAGTGTTAGATGGCAAAAAGACCCTGCTGGTTGACATCTGTGAATTAACTGAAGCCTGCACTGAGAGGGAATGGTTTGGATGGATGGGGCAGCACTGGTGGAACCAATGATGAGGGACGGGGGTCTGGGGGGAGTGTTTTAAAAGGTGACTGGGATGGTGTTGGGGAGTGGAGGTTGAAAGGGCAGGATATTTGGGAAAGAATTGAAGATTGAGATATCTAAGAAGGTGAGAGAGAGTGTGTGTGGGAAGCAGGGAGTAGTGTGGGTTTTGGAGGTGCATAGAGGCAAAGCAATGAAACGTAACTCTCACCTTTTAGTCTGGAGCCTCTTCTGACTCCTTTTCTGACCAAGTTTTGATTTCCTTCTCTTCTTGTCATCGAGTTTCTTCAGCAGTTTCTTCACCCACATTTCCCCTGGGGGGCTGCACAGATATTTATTCCTTTTTGTCAGGAACCTGTCGGGAAGGTGAAGGGTCAGGGTTAACCAAGTATTCAAAACCTCAGGTGATGAAAGAAACTTTGAGGGGCCTTGCTGCAGCCTGTCTCCCCTACTCCTGCATCTCTTGGGGTGACATTTTCAACAAATGTTCTTCCATTTTAAAGCTCCAAAACACCAAACGTTCAGAGAGTGCATTAAAA